CTCTCCCACCGACGCAGCACCACAGTTTCTTTAGAAACTTACCCCCTCTATTCAGAATATCGCACTGCCAACTTTTGTGACGTATCTTTTATTTACATTCCACGCTTTTTCGCACATTGGCTTGTAGAATATTATATGAAAGCGTTCCCTTTACCTTCAGTTTGTAGACTGTCGTTCTTAAAGCGAAGCAACTTTAGTCTGTTTCTTTTTTTTTTCTCATACTTGAAACCATTGGTAAATCAGTGAGAATTAGTTGCTCCTCAAGAGCTAGTTTTGTTCTCCGACCGAACATTCGTCATTCGTTGATACAGCTTATGAGAAGTCGAAAATGAAATCAATTTTGTTTCTGTATACTGGAAGCGACAGCACCAAAGCCGAAAACTTAAGCGATTATATACAAGGTAAGCTAGGAACATCAGTAGTCGTGAAAAGCATCACCAGTATCTTGGCAGAAGATCTAGATTTTAAAAAGGAGCTCTACCGGAGTGACTGTTTCGTCTTTATCGGATCCTGCCGAGCTTCGTCCCTCGTTCGAAACAAAGAGCAAGAAACCGAAGGTGGTTTCATTACATTTGACGGGAAAATAATCTACGATGAGTTCTCACGAAACAAGGAACTTGTGGACAAACTGGTCACTGTTTACTTCATGGAGAGAGCCGAGAATGATTGGATCCCAACTGGTCTCGATGAGAAAAGAATCTTTGACCTGAAAGGCCAAAAGATTCGAAGAGGTAATCCCGCCCTAGACCACCTGGAATATACCATAAGACGAGTACTCGGTGAGACTATATTGGACTGGTAGATGTACAGGAAGACAATTCGTCTCTTGATACCAAAGGGTGGATAGCATTTGAATACAACTTTATGTCATGATTCATTGGTAATTTTTGCTTCACAAATTGTTGATGTAGACAGTGATATTTCTGCATACGAAACACTCGCGGGTACTAAAGAGGTAAACTAAAAGAACACCGGAGTTAGCCTTTAAGTCTCGTTGAATTAATATCTCGTAGTAATAAACTATATAGTAAATGGAATTTATTGTAAATGTGTGAATGAAGAAATTTGTTCTAAAGTCAAACCACTCAATGAGGAAAAATTCAAATTAAATTCAGAGAATACATTTACTTTCTGATCTTCAATTATGCAAGTAGCCAAAAATGATTAAATAATCACTATGGCTACGCTTTCTCCAGTTGGAATAGATATTTACAATTTGATGTATGAATGAAGTGTTTATTTAATGAAATTCAGCGTAGTATTTAAATGTATATTTGCAAGATATTCTGGTAACCTTTCCAGGACCTTGTGAATGAAATGAGTTGAAACTATATATAACTAAATTGCGAAGATAATGTGCTTCTTGATAATCATTTATATTATTTGAACAACGTATGTTTAAACTTCAATCCTTAAGGCAGTTTCGCAAAGCAATTTGTGTAAATTTTGTAACTGATCATGAGTGAAATAAAACCCGACTCGCATCCCGAAAGCGGCTCACACCAAATTTTATCTTGTCATCTGGATGGGAGGGCGTTCGCTTAAAATCACTTGTTTAAAAAACGACCGGGACAGTTCTGAAAAACAAAACCATAACTTGAAAGATACATGTAAACTCGTAACTTCACCAGCCACATTGATCCATTTTTTATTATTATTTTAGTTCTAAAGGACTTTCTGGAGAGGTTAGCCCAGCCTTTTCAATAATCCAAACCTCCCCCATGAATTTCTCAGTTTGATATAATACAGAACTAACAAAGGCAAACTGTTTTTCGCTGCAAAAATTCAGATCAGTTTTAGTTCGAGGGACATGTTTTCTCGTCAACAGAGACTGGAGCGAAAACTATCCCTTTCCATCCCGGCGATATATTGCAAATACACTTCCTGATAAGTTTGCCGGTCCTCTTTTCTCAATACTGTTTGTCATACGTCCCTCGTGATTTATATTAAGCTTTGAGAATTTGTGACAAATCAAGCTATATTCCTTAAAATATATTTTCATTTCCTCTGCTACCTTCTGCTCTAAAACATATTAACTTGTTTAAGAGAAATTCCGTTTTGGTCCTACCTGGGACCTAAATATTCACCACCCATATCTCAGGATTTCTATGGCCGATAAAACTTTACTTAAATTATTCCCAAAGCGAACTATACACTGCTATTCTGTATCGTGCTGTGTTGTGTGCGGATACATTGTTAAGTTGTCTTTGTTGTACACGATCTTGTACTTGGACCCGACGACGAAGTGTGTGGAAAATCTTTGTATACGATGCCAATGAAAGCGTTAAGCACATGGGTATACCCATTCCGCCATACCAGACTGTTATACGAGGGTTTACAAAATACAGTAATGCTGAAGCTGTAGCTGTGACCCAGATGGTGACTACAACGAAAGATGTACGTTTTTACGTTACAATCTGCCTGTATCTCATCCCCAAAGTCAGGGCGAGAAGTCTGTCAAGGCTTATGGCCGTTGTAAGATCATCAATGAACACCCGCCATGATGGATAGAACCAGTTTCATAAAATATCACGTGATACAGTGTAGGCTCGCACCATGTGCGAAGGGACGGATACCACATCCGTCATCGTCGACAAAGATGCTAAGCACAACAAATATTTAATTACAGATGAAGCCAGTATGGCGAATCGACAAAGATTGGAGTGTTTGAATACCAAGGATAGAAGAAAAATGGCAGCGACGGGTTGTGCGATCAGTCCAACACAGATCCGTCATAGCCAGACAACAGAATAAGAGCTTGGACGGTTGATGAAGAGAAATCAGAGTGTTCTCGAGAAATGCAGTAATGGATAGAAGGATATTCGAGACTGAGAAACCTTTTAAATATTCGACTGTTCCATCTGCAAAACTTGGCGTCCAACATAATAAGTTTTCTGTTTCAGTTCATTTTTCTGAACCAGTGAAGTTTTTGGGCTTCATTATCCTCTAGCAATTTTCGTAACACCGATGTTTCTAACATGCAAAGCCAGCTGGTATTAGCAAGTTTCTTTGCAAAAGAAATACTTTGTAAGCTGAGTGTAGACAGCCTGTGCCTTTCTATCTTTTGCTCTGACATGGGTTGTTCAAATCTGGATTAAGATAACCCAGGGTTAGCATAGAATTTGATTTCAGGTCTGAAAGCTTTAAAAGAAAATTCAGTTCAAATCTTTTTACTTGCAATTTGA